AAAAAAAGTAAATTTAAACAAGAAAGACTTCACATCTTTGAAACCGTCACTATGTAGAAGTGTTAGACAAGATGTAACCCATTTTCAAAAGCCTACGCTAATCAGATATCCTAGAATTAAGACTGTGGCATATCTCAAAGACGACAGCACTACAAAGCTTGGGTCTGCTGACACTATTCACCTTTGCCCATGCATTCAAGTTTAATGTCATTCATTCACTACATTTAATACACTGACAGGGAATTCCAGCCTGGATAGGTCCCAAATGCCAACTGCAGTGCTTCAGCTGCAGCGTCTGACAACAGACAGCTTAAGGTATGAGGTTGAAACCACACTCAATTTCTTCTATGAAAAAGCCTCAATTCTGCAGCATTTTCAAGCTTTAAAGTTTTACTTTCTACTGTCAGTTTAATGTCATTTCAAAGCTACTTCAGTGTTTTAACACCTGACATTAAGAGTTTAAGCTTCTGTTAATCAGTACAATACAAATGACTTCCATACTGCAAAGGACATTTATGCTCTACAAAACTATTTTCAATATATATACACACACCAAAAATTATAAAATCTAATACGTTTGTATACATACACACAATACACAATTTTATATAAAATTTGCATTATTCTGGCATGCAAAGAAATTCTTTCTGTATATAAATAAATTTCTGTCTACATTCTTGTGAACGAAGCCCTACAGATGTGAAAAATTTGAACTCAATACTACATCCAAGACTCTCAAAATCTGCACGCTGAAGCATGTGACCTCTTCGTAAAGCCACTGTTCACCCCAAAATTTTAGAGACTTAGAAAACGTAATTCCTTCTAAAAGGAGACGTACAAGTCTACTGCTGAGGGCCATAGACTGAAAAGCTTTTAAAAACCTTCCTTACAAATTTGTTTCAGCCCTGTACAAGACATCTACTAGCGGCAGCCTAAGTCAGAAACACTGTCTGGTGCTTCATATACAAATCAAGGTCGTGCTTTTTGAGACTGGCCCATTTGTATCACCAATACCACAAGATACAGATTTTGCAGCAGCATATCAGCCTATTGCATAACCCTTGCCTTTTGCTCTAATCAGGCTATCAGAGCCCTCTAAAGGGAAGTCATTGCTACACACCATAATGCTTCAGGACCCACCTCAGTGGACCAGCCCTCACTTATCACAAAACAGACAAGTCTTACAACTTCATAGAATCATAGAACTTTAGGGGTTGGAATGGACCTTACAGATTGTATAGTCCCAACCCTCCCTGCCATGGGCAGGGAGCCCTCCCCACTAGACCAGGATGCATAAGGCCTCATCCAACCTGGATTTGAATACCACCAGGGTTGGGGCAGCCACCACTTCCCTAGGCAACCTGTTCCAGTGTCTCACCTTCCTTGCAGTAAAAAACGTTTTTCTAATATATAACCTAAACTTCCCCTCCTTCAATTTGAACCCATTATCCCTTGTCCCATCACTGCAGTTCCTAATTCTGTGCTTTTCAGTATCCTATGGGAAGGAGAAAGTTTATTAATTTCTTCCCGAGAAGTTGAACATGACCCACGCCTGTATCTTGAAATGAAGTAGAGCAGAGTCCACAATACTTTGCAAGATACTATACCTATACTACACTAACTACTATACTATACTGCTACTATACTACTATATAAGATCATAGAATTTTAGGGTTGGAATGGACCTTACAAATCTAGTGCCAACTCCTGCAGGGGACACCTCCCCACTAGATCTTGTCACTCAAGGCTTCATCCAGCCTGGTCTTGACACTGCAAGGGTCAGGGCAGCTACCACGTCCTTGGGCAACCTGTTCCAGTGTCTCACCACCCTCACAGTAAAAAAATCTTTTTCTCACACCCAGCCTAGACTTTCCCTCCACGAGTTTGAACCCATTACCCCTTGTCCTATCACTGCAGTTCCTAACACAGAGTCCCTCTCCAGCTCCCTGGCAGACCCTTCAGATACTGAAAAGTTGCTATGAGGTCTCCACACAGTCTTCTCATCTCCAGGCTGAACAGTCCCAACTTCCTCAGCCTGTCCTCATAGGGGAGGTGCTCCAGTCCTCTTAGCAACTTCGTGGCCTCCTCTGCACTTGCTCCAACAGTTCCATGTCCTTCATACGTTGAGGACACCAGAACTGCACGCAGTATTCCAGGTGGGTCTCATGAGAGCAGAGTACAGGGGAATAATCACCTCTTTTGACCTGCTGGCCACACTCCTTTTGATGCAGCCCAGGATTGGATTGGCTTTCTGGGCTGTGAGCACACACTGCCAGCTCATTGTGAGCTTCTCATTCAATGTCACTCCCAAGTCTTTCTCCTCACTGCTGGTTTCAGTTACTTCCCCACTCAACCTGTAGCTGTACCTGGGATTCCCACGGCCCAGATGTACGACCTTGCACTTCATTTTGTTGAGTTTCATGAGGTTTGCATTGGCCCACCACTCAAGCCTGTCAGGGTCTCTCTGGATGGCACATCCCTTCCCTCCAGCTGTGACTGCCCCACACAGCTTGGTGTGGTCAGTGAACTTGCTGAGGGAGCACTCAATCCACTGTCCATGTCACCAACAAAGATGTTGAGTAGTATCAGCCCCAGCACTGACTCTGAGGGACACCACTTGTCACTGGCCTCCACATGGACAATGAGCTGCTGACCACAACTCTGTGTGTGACCATCCAGCCAGTTCTTTATCTGCTGAGTGGTCCACCCTTCAAATCCATGTCTCTCCAATTTAGAGACAAGGATGTCGTGCAGGACAGTGTCCAATGCCTTGCATAAGTTCAGACAGATCATATCAATTGCTCTACCCCTATCTAGAAATTCTGTGGCCCCATCATAGAAGGCCACCAAATTCATCAGGCATGGCTTGGCCCTGGTAAAGCCATGTTGGCCATTACTGATCATCTTTTTGCTTTTCATATGCCTAAGCATAGCTTCCAGGAGAGATAACATATTAACAACCTACACCTTCAAAAGATAACCTGGTAACAAATATTTACAGATTCCGCGAATTCAGTGCCAAGATCAGTTTTTGACTGTTTTCTGCTCGGCCTAACGTTGCCCATGCCTGAAGAAGGTGGTCAATCTGCTCAATTACACTAAAGAGAAAGGCAACTACTAAACAGATAACCCTAGAAAAATGTGTGTTCTCTGGTCTATGCCTAGAAGTGTTTAAAGAATATAAATCATTATGAAACTGAAGGTTGTTTGGGCCAATATTGAAAGCAAGTTGTTTTCTACTTTGTTTCTCTGAATGCCTACCCTCTGTGATTTGTTACTGACCTTACTGTAAATACACCAGCAGCAGGGTTTTCTGCCAAATTCTACACTCACTCTTCTGCATCTGAAGCAGCTCTAATTCAGCTTCTTTCAAAATCTGATTCCCTGCTCACCAATGCTGGAGACAACCAAATATCAGGATATTTGAACTGATGTACATATGAAGGATTCTACCATCAGGAAGAAAAAGTCTTTAAAACCTAATATGGAGAACTTGACATTACACAGCTTTGTTACTTGACTCACAATTTGATTCCCCTTATTTAACAAACTACTGCCTTGTTCTCATCAAATCACTAGTAGTAACTTTTCAGTATCTTCTGCACTATTACTAAAATGCATAAGTAAGCACCCAAATTTATTATCCTCATCACAGTGAAATCAATTAAATTAGCACCTATCATTAGCATTTCATTATAAACTCAAATAATTTCAGCTGGAAATCAACTTCCATATATTCTATTACTTTTTTTTAAAGGAAAAATCAGAGCACCCAACCGCAGAATTTTTCCTTCAATTCTAAAAAGGGATACATAAGCAAACAAGAACTCTTTAAGTAGCAGAAATGTCCAGATCTAAAGCAGATTACTTGGTACTGTACTCTTAGAAAAAAAGAAGTCTTCAAGTGTTAAGAAATAGTAGCCAGAAAACATTAATTAAAAAAGCCCACCTTTTTCCTATTAATGATAATCTTAGGAGAAAGTTTAACTTTTCCTTCTCAAGTGATACCAGAAAATGCTGAGATTTGCCAGTTTGAATTCATCATGTAATTCTTAGTTTTACACTTGTCAAAAAGACACAAAGCTGAACTATTCAATACTACTCAACTTTGTAAAATATATTTATTCACAGTCCAATGTGTTTCAGTGCTTTTAGGGTTTTTTAATACTTCACAAATGTTTAGATTTCTACTGTCACATCTTCCCATATGTCATGATTCTTGGACTACACATCAACTACAAGACAACTAAACAACTGCATACTAAAGAGTGGAAAGCAACTGCTCTTAGGATACTACCACAGTCTATCCTTGAGGATTACTTTGCCCCAGCAACTGACAAACCAGCAGCACCTAGTTACTTATTCGAGACCCTTTCTAGCTGTTTCACTCATGGATGAAGAGAAGTATCTGATGAATGAACCCATATTTAGAAGAGGTCATTGGCATCTCACCTCTCACATTGGAAAACAGTTTAACCATTTTCAATTTGGAAAAAAGATTATCCAAAGTATGGGAAATTTTGAATGTTTTTCTTAAAGGGTAATTTCTATATACACAGACTCTTGTAGCAATCCTTTTTTACCACTCAGTGTGCCTCATGAATCGTACTCAAGTGTGTCCTACGGGCTTTTATTGTTCACAGTAGTGGTGAGGGACAGGTGAAGGCAGCTGGGAGAGCATTAGAGAAGCTGCTTCACCCATTCACTATTCAGGTCAAATGAAAAAGAGGGCAGTGCTTTGTTTGGGAAAGGAAGCCACCAATTCCATAAAGATCCAAAAGCAGAAGAGAGCTGCTTCCACAAGAGTTCAAGGGCAGTGGTGGATTCCCCCATCAATCATCAACAGAGTAGACACACTGACTGAATGGACAGAGGTTATCAAAAGATCACTACCCACATATCATCTCATTCATGTACCTTAGAAAAGCCACAGAAGTCTAAAGCAACATTATGGGATGAATTCTATTTGAGTTATATAGAAATTATGGCTGAAACATGGAAGCTACATGTACAGTTGTTTAAAGTGTCAACTGATCTGCACACCTGTGCTTGCCCTTTTACTGACTCATGATCACTATCTAACTCTATTTACTCTAGTTTCACCTTTATATTCAACATGGACAATCAGAAATCTCCTGCTGCTCAAGTCCCTGGCACTTCTGTATGGAAAACAACATAATAAAGTATTCAGACAAGAAAGAGACGTAAATCCTGTCTGGATGAAATTGGCATGATTACAACACAAACAAGATTATTTCCTCCTGCCATTAAATTCACTAATTCCTTGGCAGCAGCATGACACTAGGAATTGTCAGCCCCTTCACTGCAACTGACATTTACCTGATTCACTTATTTCCAAAACAGTATTTCAAGTTTTTATTTTCTCTTCTCTCAAAACCAGTAACTTCATGTTTCTGTGTACCTTACCCTGTTTCCTAATTAATCCCTAATTACTGACTTTGGGTTACTTTGTTGCTGCAGTTTTGGGGTTTGTTTATTTGCTTTTAGGAATAGACAGTCCACTAATTTCTTATCTACTTAATACTTTTTCCTGGCCCAGAGTATGGTGTAGTACTGAAGAAGAATGTGTACTAGCACTTTTCAAGCACATTACTTTATCAGAAGAGTCTGAGAGGATCTATTTTCTATACCGTCTGACATGCATCTTCTTTGAATTCCTTACTGTAAGAATTTCTGCATTAGGAGGTTTGAGATCTATTCATGGTGACAGAACACCTTGGACACTCATCTGTACAGCTCATTCTTCACTTGTAGCATAGGCAAGAGCTAGGTTGCAAAAGAACAAGACCTACTTTATCAATACCCACGCTGAAAATTCTATGCTTAGCAAGACAGCAGAGTTAAATCACACCAAATATTTAAGATAATATTAATAGTATTTTAAATTGCCATATTTCACCTTGTGGTGAAAACCAGTTTACATACTGTGCTACAGCCATGTGATTAAACTCAGAAAATTCTACTACTGCGAAAAACAGATATGAAAGACCAAGAAATGATCCTAAAAACCACACCTGTGGACAGAAACAGTCATTGAGGACCACCTCAGCTGTAGAAAATACCATCTGACTACTTGCAGTAGATACATCAAGGTGTTACAAGAAGGAATACCTTCTTGGAATTCTAAGGAATTGTAAGGGCAAATCAGTAATAGGGTTTCAAGGGTCAGGGCAATCATTGTACCTCTTACTGCACTACCACCTAAGTCTACCTGTGCTTCAGTACTAATTATTTATGACAGAATACTGAACCAACAAGAGGGACAAAATTAGCATAAGTGAAAAGCCAAGTTTATAAAAGCTTCACACTACGACTACCCACAACCATTCAAGAGCTTCAATTGTCTCTCTCATGCCACAACTCCCAGCAGTTGTCAAAACAGGTCTGCTTTACACTGTGCAAAGCCCACTTTACACCACTAAAATAAGCAACTACAAGCAGCTACATTATCATGCTATCAACAGATTGAACTTTTAAAGGCCATTTAGTCCAACCCTCCTGCAATGGGCAGGGACATCTTCAACCAAATCAGGTTTCTTGGAGTCCCATCCAACCTGACCTAGAATGTTTCCAGGCATGGAGCATCTACCACCTCTTTGGGAACATTCTGACCTCATTTTAAATGATAGTGGATTATTTCAACTTAGCCAATGGGTCA